TACAGCCATGGACAGCAGCACTGCTGACTCCATCATACACAAAGCATGGATGAAGAACATCTGGGCCAAACAGGTATTAAACTGGATCTCCCTAGCCTGGAACCAGAAGATGGAAAGCATCTTGGGCAACGTAGAGGTGGTGGCTGCTAAGTCAATAGTAGACAGCATGCAGAGGAAGTAGTACATGGGCCTGTGGAGGGCTGGTTCTGATACTATGACTAGTAAAATGATAGAGTTCCCAGCAACGATGATCACATAGCCAGTGCAGACTGCCACTGAGAACCACATGTGGTAGGCCTCCAGCCCCGGGATGCCTTGCAACACAAAGATAAAGGACCAGGAGTAGGTCACATTGCCCATCATTCAGGTCCTCCAAGATGCACCGATCACTTTGGCCACCAGCTTCACTGAAGATCATAGCACCTGTCAATCAAAGCAGAGAAAGAGATAGGTCAGGGGTAGGCAACTTTGGCTCTTTTATGACTTGTGGACTTCAACTCCCAGAATTCCTCAGCCAGCATAGGGGAACTATGGCCCCCTCATGACTCGTGGACTTCAACTCCCAGAATTCCTCAGCCAGCGTGGGGGAACTATGGCCCCTTCATGACTCATGTACTTCAACTCCCAGAATTCCTGAGCCAGCATGGGGGAACTATGGCCCCTTCATGACTCATGGACTTCAACTCCCAGAATTCCTGAGCCAGCCTGGCTCAGCTTGGAAACCTCACCCTTTCCCCTCAGCATGGCTGGCTCAGGAATTCTGGGAATTGAAGTTCATGAGTCATAAAAGAACCAAGGTGGCCTACCCCTGAGATAGATGACAAAATTGGTCATTAGGACCAGAGACTTAGTCTTCCAAGCTTTCAGACTTGTGATGGAGCCCATTCTCTGGGAACTTCTCTCTCTCCTGGATGTCTGCACTGGGCTATGCGTAGTATTTACTTGGTGCCTGGTTGTGTGTGGCTTTTAGTCGAGAAAATGAGCTTTTAGATGAGGAAGTGCTCAGAGCTGCAGGAAATCAAGGATCTTTGTAGCTCAGGGTTGAAGTGAATTCTATCTCTGAACTTGGCTGTTTTCTTGCAGATGTTTCATTATCAAACTAGGTAACATCAGTGCGAGAAAGGAGTGGGATTTGCAGAGTGGAGGAGAAGGAGAAGGGGAGGAGGACCAAAAGGAGAAGGAGGAGGACCGTGAGGTCCTGGATGTTCTCTGAGCTTAGTAGTTTTCTTGAAGGCATCTCATTACCCAGAATAGGTAACATCACCACTTGTAATCTGTCGCTGGGAACAAGCAATGCCTGCCAAAAAGCAGTCAAGCTCAGAGAGCGCCAAGGACTCTTCTGCAGGAAACCTTCTCAGTCTCAGCCTCCTGTGACACAATGCAGGTCTTGCTCTCAGCTGAACTATGGACTTGCAATAATAATAATAATAATAATAATAATAATAATAATAATAATAATAATAATAATAATAATAATAATAATAATAATAATAATAATAATAATAATAATAATAAATCCTCTCTGGCAGAAACCTGGAAGAGCCTCAGAGGGATAGAATCAAGATCACGTGAAGTGTTAATACCACTTTACAAGGCCTTGGTAAGGCCACACTTGGAATCCTGCATCCAGTTTTGGTCACCACAATGTAAAAAAGATGTTGAGACTCTAGAAAGAATGCAGAGAAGAGCAACAAGGATGATTAGGGGACTGGAGGCTAAAGCATATAAGGAAAGGCTGCTGGAATTGGGTATGTCTAGTTTAATGAAGAGAAGGACCAGGGGGGACATGATAGCAGTGTTCCAATATCTCAGGGGCTGCCCCAAAGAAGAGGGAGTCAAGCTATTTTCCAAGGCGCCTGAAGGCAGGACAAGAAGCAGCAACAGATGGAAGCTAATCAAGGAGAGAAGCAACCTGGAACTAAGGAGAAACTTCCTGACAGTGAGAACAATTAACCAGTGGAACAACCTGCCTCCAGAAGCTGTGAATGCTCCAACACTGGAAGTTTTCAAGAAGAGATTGGACAGCCATTTGTCTGAAATGGTATAGGGTTTCCTGCCTGAGCAGGGGGTTGGACTAAATGACCTCCAAGGTCTCTTTCAACTTTATTATTATTATTATTATTATTATTATTATTATTATTATTATTATTATTATTATTATTATTATTATTATTATTATTATTGGTGGGCAGCTCTGGTAGGGATGGGGATTAAATGGACAACTTTACAAATGAATTATAGAATAACAGAATAACAGAGTAGGAAAGGACCTAGTCTAACCCCTGCTCAAGCAGGAAGCCCTACCCCATTCCAGACAAATGGCTGTTCAGTCTCTCCTTAAAAACCTCCAGTGATGGAGCACCCACAACTTCTGGAGGGAAACCGTTCCACTATTTGATTGCTCTCACTGTCAGGAAATTCCTCCTTAATTCCAGGTTGATTCTCTCCGTGATTAGTTTCCATCTGTTTCTTCTTGTCCTGCCTTCAGGGGCTTTGGAGAAGAGGTGGACCCCCTCTTCTTTGTGGCAGCCCCTCAAATATTGGAACAGTGCTATCATGTCTCCCCTAATCCTTCTTTTAATTAAACCAGACATAACCAATTCCTGCAACCGTTCTCATATGTTTTTGCCTTCAGTCCCCTGAAAAAGCAGAGAAATGTTGGCTACCAATTTAGGAACTGAACTAGGAAACCATCTATGCTAGCAAACAGGATGCATCTCTTGGGCTTGAACACTCACCAGGCAGAAGCAGCTTTGGAGGGTCCTTTAGAGTGGGGTGTTGTGCATCCTCCGGGGCCCCTCTTGTGCAGCACAAGTGTTGCACCTTCCACGAGAAAGGAATCTTTATAGTCTTGAACAGACCATGTGAAATCCTTGCCTGGAATTGAAGCTCAGCCCTTCTCTGGCTCCTTGTTGCTTTTTTATGCCTTCCCCTCTGGGAGGGATGGAAGAGCTCTCCCTGCAGTGTTGCTGGCCCTGAAGAGGGCCTGGGGAGGGCAGGAGCCTCCACAGACTGGCCCGGCCCATCAGCAGGATGGACTGGAAGCCATCTCATCAGGCGCCATGTGGATCCAGCTTTTTACGTTAGTCCCTGGAAGTGTTGCTGCAAAACATTGGCAAACAAGGGTTCCTTCTTTGGCTCCATGGAATTTTAAAGAAAAGGAAATAGTGGAAGAGAAAGTATGATCTTGGTTGGGACAAGCAAACCATCCCCCTCTCTGTGTTACTTTCTCAGGTCTTGGAAACCCAACAGAATGGAATAGGAAATAGAATGGACTGGACTGGACTGGACTGGACTAGACTAGGAATAGAATAGAATAGAATAGAATAGGAATAGGAATAGGAATAGGAATAGGAATAGGAATAGAATAGAATAGAATAGAATAGAATAGAATAGAATAGAATAGAATAGAATAGAATGGAATGGAATGGAATGGAATGGAATTCTTTGTTGGCCAAGTGTGGCTGGACACACAAGGAATTTCCCTCCGTTACAGAAGCTCTCAGTGTACATATAAACAGCAAGTGATAAATCATGATCATAATCATCATCAAATACAATCCTCATAAACCATAAGATACAGCACTCAGTGATCATCATAGGATACTAAATAATCAATCAACATCAATTGTAACAGGATACTAAATAAAGGCAATCAGCACAATTCATGAGATACAAACAGCAAAATTATAGTCATAAGAAGCTAAGGAAATAACTTAGTAGACCAATGTCTTCTTGGTGATCCCAAAGGCGCTTTTCCAAAAGGCAACTGGACTTTCTTGGTTTTTTCCTTGAAAATTCTTCTCATCTTGAGAATGATGATGAAGAATCTCCCTAGACATCATTTTGGTGATTTCCGGCCAAGCGTTAGAGGCTGCCTCCGTCACTTTTTGGTCAAGAGGGGGGGGGTGCTGTCCCTTCCCAGCATCCAAACAAGGCTCATCTCCCAGCTGGTTGGTTTCTGTAGTCAAGCATTCATGTCTTCAACCATGGCTTCAAAGAGAGAGAAATATACCACTAGATTACAGAAAAGGTAAAATGATGGCACGGAAGAAGGTGCTTCAGTGACTCTCCATTGGACTGGTATATTCAAGTGCTGAGGCAGAGAAAACCCTGGGTAGCTTCTGGGTTATGGCTGGATAGGCATGTCTTTCATGAAGGAACTTGAGCAACTGGTAGTCGGATGACAAGTTCACCTCTATAATGTAGAGAGAAATTAAAAAGATAAGAACATAAGCTGTGGTGTCCTGGTTGGAACCCCTGGCTCAACATGTCCATCATCCCATGGGTCTCTCTGCAGATGCCCTTCAGAAACCTCCCCCCCCTCAGCCACCAAGGCTCAGAATCATCCATCCCTCCCTCCCCCTC